TAAGAGTACTGCCCCACCAGCCACCACTCATCCACTTTCTGCTTGTCTGAGTTGTTCTAGATCCACCAAAAGTGAGACCATGCAGCATTTGTCTTATTTCACTTGATGTGTCTCCAGGTTCATCCACGTTGTACAAATGACAGGCTTTCCTTCTGTTCAGGAGTGGTACATCTTCTCATCTACCGGCTGACTCCATGTCTTGGCCCTTGGGAACAATCTCACCATGGACTTGGGCACACAGAGATCTCTCTGACACACTGATGCATTTCTTTTGGATAGGTACCCAGTTCTGGGATTTCGCTGACTTGAACTATATACATTTAATCCGTTGGGATTATCTTGACTTTGGAGATCCGGATATTCATTTCCCACTCCAGAGTTGGGACATTATCTGCCATTATTGCTTTAAAAAAGGTCTTGTTTTTTGTGGACTCCTGGATTCCCAGAATGCACATACTGGTTTGCGTGATGGTGCCACATACATCCTGAAGGATTTCTTTCATGTCCTTTCTTTTTGTTCCTCTGACCAGGAAACTTAGACGACCTGCTTCAAGCTTGCTGGTAAGTCTGCTGTTGAAGCTCTCTTTAGCTTTTCATTTCAGTCATCGTGTTCTTCAGCTCCAGGATGTTGTGTTCCTTTTTAATGGTTTTTATCTTTGTTGGATTCTCCCTCTACTTGTGCACCCCTTTCCTATTTATTACCTGTGTCCCTGGTAGGTCGCCGAGCTTCTTTAAGATGATTATTTTGAATTCGTTGTCAGGAAGTTCATAGATCTCCACTGCCTTAGGGCCAGTCACTGGTGCCTAATTGTATCATGCCTCTAAAGGTATCATGTCTCCCTGATCCTTCCCACCCTGTTGCCTTGAGTTTGGGTCTGAGCATTTGAAGACCTAGGAACCTCTATGGTCTTTGCTCACTAGCTTCTGCAAGGAAATCCATGTATCAGTCCACTTATCAGAGATTCTGGGCAGGCCAGCTGGCGGATCTATGGACAGGCACACTGCTTGGAGTCCTTAGGTCACTGGGTGGGTGGACCTGGAGGCTGGGTCCTCTGGGGTGGACCTGGAGATTTGTTCCACTGGAGTAGGCCTGTTGACTGGGTCTGCAGTGGGGAGGGGTACCTGGAAACTGCCTGGGGGCTGGCCTGATTCCTGGGTCGATGGGTCCAAACTTTCCCTGGGGTGAGCTTTGAGCTGGAGTCCACAGGGCAAGGCCTGGCACTAGATGGGCCTTGTGCTTGGTTCCACAGGCATGAGACTGGTCCTGAGTCCACAGGGCCACCCTGATGCCAGGGTTCACTGGGGTAGACCTGGGGTCAGAGAAGCTAAATTAGTGGAGGTCAGCCTGGTACTGGGGCTGCAAGAGCCGGCCAGGCATGGATGGACCTGGTGTCTGAGTCTCCTGGGTCCTGAGTCTACATGGGCCAGCCTGGAGCCTGGGCCTGACCCTGGATCCACTATGGGGATTCTTAATGTCGACTGCTGCACAGCACTAGAGAACTTATGGTCATCAGCCAATGTCCTTCCCTGCCTCCAACCAACCAAGGGTTCTGTGGCCCGAGCACACCGTGTTGTGCATCACCCTGCCACCAAGTTCATGATACTCTTGGCACATGCCTGGATGTACCTGTGTTGCACCAGGTAAAAATTCAATGACCGCCCCCCCCCACTTGGCCTCACCAGTCGGCATAGCTGCACTTCCCTCTGTGATAGTCTGTTGAGCTGAACTTTCCATTTCTTGCTTGTTTATCTAAAAAGCCTTTCTATTGCCTTTGTTTTTGAAAACCATTCTTTCCTCCATGGAAACTTCTGGGTTGACACTTGGAGGATGCAGTCCCATTGTCTTCCAGAGGCCATGGCTGCTGTGGAGGGTCCCTGTGGACTGGTTTCAGTCAGGGTGACCTTTTGGTCTCTGGTTGCTCTCAGAACTGTCTTCAGTGCCCTGCGGCTTCTCTAGGACGGCTCAGGATCTGCATTTCTATTTGCCCTTCCTGGCATTTTTGAATCTCTGCACTGGTGATCGTCACTCAGCCAACCAGTGCCCTTGGATGCCAGCTCTTCCACTCTGCCTCCGCCTGGAGTCTGTGGGAGCTCCACACCCTCCTCCTCGCACCCCCTTGATCTCTGCAGAGTCAGGGGTTTCATCAGTATCATTTTCCAGTTCAGTAATTTGGTTGGGGAGGGGGAGTACTGGGGATCGAACCCAGGGGTGCTTCACCACTGAGCCACATCCCCAGCCTTTTTTATTTTGAGACAGGCTCTTGCTAAGTTGCTGATGGTCTCACTAAATTGCTGAGGCTGTCCTCAAACTTGCAATCCTTCTGCCTCAGCCTCCCAAGCCTCTGAGTTACAGGCGTGCGTTACCATGCTGGCCAGGTCAGTAATTCTTTCTTTGGTCGTGTCTAACCTGAGATTAAGCCCGGACACTGAGATGTAAACGTCCGTGGTGTAGAAGAGCTGTCTGGGAAGGAAAATGGCCCTGAGAGTTCACTGTGAGTGGCCTGGACAGAGGCTGACTGGGGCGGGGAGGGCTGTCAGTGGCATAGAACAGTCCAAGGCGTGCCTGCAGCCTCACCTGGGTGATCTGGGTGGGATGAAGCTGATCACTTGCATCCTGGAAATTGTAGGTGTCCCCTGATTTCCTCCAGTGTGTCATGTCACTAGGCAATGCTGAAGGCCAGCCTGCTTCTGCTCCCAAGCAGCTCTGTGCCTGGACGCCTGTGGGTCCCCTCTACCTCCACACTCCAGGGCTGACCACGGGGCATGAACTGACCCTGGGCCTCTTGTTGTTTACTTCTGGAAATTCGAAAGTGCTTCTTGAAGGTTTGTTGTGCCTGTGACTTTGGGTTTATTCTCCAGACACATTAACTACTGCTCGGCAAGGTGGGAGCTCCCTGAGCAGGGCCAACCCTGGCCCCTGGCCCCCAGCCTCTGCAGCCCTGGCCCTGATGCCCAGGGAGCTGCACGCCCAGGCCCAGCCCCAGGGCCCAGCCCCCACAGCCGCCCTGGACTCAGCTCCCAGGGCCTTTCTACCCATTCTGCCAGCATCACCATGCACGTTGGGTACCTCTGTGATGTGTGGAGTCCTAGTCGGGGACAGTGGTAGAGGGGCCCCCATGCCAGCTGGAACTGGCTGCGCCTGGGCAGTCCTGCTCAGTGTCGAGGCCTGGGTGAGGCAGCCAAGTGATAGGTAAATGACAGAGTGACAAACACACAGCTGTACCTTTCCAACAGTTTATAAAGGAGAAGCCCAGAGTGGGTTGGGTGGGAACTGCTCGCTCCCACATGAATAGATGTCCACCCTCCAGAGGGCAGGGGCGGGCGCGAGGGCAAGGGCGTGGAGACACAGGGGAACCCGGAGCCTCCTCAGGCCACCCTGCCCCTGCGTGAGGCTGGGTTTCTGCACCACACCAGTCGATTCAAGAGTGACCCTTGGCAGCCACAGGTGCCCACCATAGCTGGCCTGGGAGGGCAGGTGCTGGCAGCAAGGAAGAAGGGCCGCTGTGAACAGTGGCTGGGGCGGCCCCGTCCTCCTGCCTGCTGCCCCGTCCTTGGGCTGAGCCCCTACAACCCAGGCTTCAGCCCAGCCCCCGAGCTCCTGGTGGTCTCACCATCAGTCCCAGGCGAGGCTGCTGACCGCCCACCCGGGGCCACAAGCTCATCCTGGCCCAGGTGAAGAGGCCAGGGTGTCCTTCGTGGGTGCAGGGAGTGGGAAGGTGCGGGCTGCTCACGGGCAGGCGAAACCCAGAGGAGTCCTCTTGGGAAACGGCCTCAAAGGGGCGTTCAGGTTCTGCCTGCGGGGAGGACACTCTGTTCCAATGAGGGGGCCGCGGGAGCCTGGGCGTGTGACACGAGGGCGTGTGCACTGCGAGATGTGAACAGGCTGAACTGTGCACACCACAGTCCGTGTGTGGAACCCCACTCCCAGCATACCTTAGGTGCAAGTCCTCAAGGAGGGGCAGTTAAGGAGGCCGAGGCTAGACTCCAACAGGACTGGGTTCTCCTGGGGAGGGACGCAGCAAGGAGAGGCCAGTGAGGACACGGCGAGAGGGAGCCCTCTGCCAGACCCATGCACCCTGACCTTGGACTTGGGCCTCCAGAACCCAGAGGAACGAGGCTTCCTGCTCAGGCTGGAGCCTGGAGTGGCCACCGCAGCCCAGCCGACCAAGACGTTGCACAGAGGAAATGTACAGAGGGCCACTGGGAGACTGGACCCGGCCTCTGAACCCGTGGTTAGGGAGGGACAGCTGCTCAGGCTGGGGTCCTGTGACCCAGGGAACAGGCAGAACAGGCTGGACGGGCCGAGGGAAGACCTTCCCTGGTTTGCCTCAAGAACTGACACCTACTGAGCCCCCGGGCTCACTCAGTGACCATGAGCTAGGCCACAGCAAGGGCTGCTGGGTGCCCACCCTCTGGCCTCACTGCCATCTCCTTAGTAGCAGGACCCCATGTTCAAGCTGGGTGCTCAGCTTGGACTCTGCGTTTTCCAGTCACACCAGAGCCAGGAGTGCCCCTGTCATCAGGCACCGGCTACAGAGCCATAGAGACCTCTGCTTCCTCCCAGACCCCCACCAGCAGGAGCTCTAGCAGCCATGATGGACCACGAGGCCACTGTGAGGAGGGAAACATGGGCTGAGGATGGGAGACCTGGGGTGGGGGTGGGGTGGGGGAGGGAGGAGCCTGGGCTCCTGATGGCAGGGGAGGTGTGAAGTCTGGTTGCCTGGGTTTCTTTCATACACCACAGGACTCGCCTGGGTGAGGAGCACTACTTTCACTCCATAAAAAAGCAAGGCCTGGAGGTAAGGGGCAGGCCCGAGGTCTGAATCCCATCCTCACAGGAAGACAGTGGTGCACGAGGCCACCTGGTGGGCTCCACAGGACTCTGCACCCGCTGGAGAGGTGCTAACTGGCCTCCAGGCTTCAGGCCAGGCAGACCCTGCTGGACTGGGGAGGAAGCTGGCCACTCCCTCCTCCCCCAGGCACAAAAGGCTAATAACCACTGCAGAAAAGAACTTAGGTTTATTTGCAGTAAAAACTGTGGTCTGAAAAAACCCAGTGGCAAATGTACAGTTTGTGTTCCCTTTGGGGTCTCTGTGGCCGAGGGACCCCAGATCCCTGACTCATGTGTCAGGCTCCAGTGTTCACAGCTGGCCTCAGGCCTGGTCCCCAGCCACTCCAGAGGCATCCTCCTCCGGGACTGCCCGGCCTCCAGCCACCCTCCCTGGTATAGCGCAGACCAAACCAAACAGATGCCAACATTCACAGAAACCAGGGCTCCAGGTCATCTGTCCTCAGTGTCCTTCGTTTTCAGGATGACCTGTTCGGCGACCAACTAAAATATACATCATTTTCTTGCTATTATAAAATCTCTTCCTTATTCACAGATACTAATAGGAGATTTGGATGAAATAATTACAAACTTTTTCCCCTTAAAAAACAAACAGACCAAACGTAACACAACAAAAACCCCAAACCAGACCACAAGAACGGACAACGGTAAACACAGAGGGGCTGGGGTCTCCCTGCCATCCGGGCTGGCTGCGACAGGTCCGCGCCAAGTGCTGGGTGGCCCCGCTGCACGGGGGCTCAGGTGCGCCAAGGCCACCTCCCTGCCCAGGCCCTGCTTCCCCCCGGCTCAGGCCTTCTCCGCAGAATTCTTTCCTGCTGCTCCGGGCTTCCTGACCCTCCAGGAGGCTGGGTAGGTGCACTGAGCCCGGGGTAACCTCAGTTGGCTCCCCCAGGAGGGTCCAGCCCCCAGTGGACGGCCTCCCACACCCCCCCACTCATGCTCTGCAGCTGACCTAGGGCAGAAGGGGTAGCGGGAAATCCGGGTCTCACCAGAAGCTTTGGTGGGATCTGGGAGGGGCCAGGGTCCGGGGTTTCACAAATGTCAGGGTAGAGAACCCAGGTCTGGCCGAGCCAGCCAGAGGTCAAAGGCCAGGAGACACCAAAAGGAGGGAGGAGGGAGAGCCACCCCAAGAGCACTTATTCAGGCTGGCCACAGGCCCAGGAGGGCTGCAGGAGCCCCTGGAGGCAGACCCACCAAAGGCCAGGCCGACGTCTGTGCAAAGGCTGGTGGACCCGGGCCACGGTACAGGGTGCAGGAGGCCCAGTGGGTCCCTCTGGAGAGGAAGGTGGGCAGCAGGGGCCCAGGGAGGAGCATCATTCTCTCCCTCCCTTTGGGGTTTACGGAAGACGAGTGCCTGGCAGCAGGGCGGGGCAGGGCAGCCCTGGACCCCGGGACCCAGGAAAGGCTCTCGGGAGGAAAAGAGCAGTACCATTGACTAGGGGTGGGGACAGCAATGTCATCATTCCTAAGCCCTCCAAGAGAGGGCCCTGACAGTAGGGTCTCGGTGGGCCTCACGGGGAAGCGAGGAAGTCGGGGACAGTCCCAGGAGCCCTGTGACAGGGTCACATGTGTGCTCTCCCCCGTACCCCAGCACAGCCGAGCTGAGCAAGGCCACAGCAAGCAGCCCGGCCCTGGGCCTCCTCCTCCACAGCCTGAGGCCCTGACAGCAGCAGAGAAGCAGGAGGGCCAGCCCAGGGGCTGAGCACCAGACCAGTGGGCCCCTCTGCTGTCCCCAGCACCCCTGGGACACTGTCTGCTATTTGATCCTAAGCTCCTGAACACATCTCAGCCAGAAGGCATAGGGCACCCTTCTGGACTCAGCTGTCACCAGAGCCAGGCTTGTGATGCCACGCGCCCCTCCCCCACAGTCTGGGTGGGGCTCACCCCGGTTTCCTCTATGTACAAGGAGCGGACCCAGGGATGGGTGCCCAGGGACAGGGGTGGCGGAACGGCTTGACGTTAGGGTTCTGAACACCCTCCCCACCCCATGGGCTGCCGGCGACTGGAAGGCTGGAGGTGTGCCCCCGGGAGCCACCGAGGGGCCGAGATGGACTGCAGGCCGGGGGCTCTCCATGAGCATCCCGGGTCCTGTCTGCGCTCTCCTCCTCACTGGACACCCTCCTCTTCCACGTATGTCGAAGGGAACCAGCCGATCTGAAAGAGATATGGGAAGGAGGGTGCTTCAGAGCCAGCTTCTCAGTCTGGACCACTCAGAGGGGCCTGGCCAGAGAGGCCAAGGGCCAGGGGCTCCAAAGAGCTGTTATGGGCCAGGCTATGTGGACAATGACCAGACTCCACTTCACCCTGAGACTCCATGTCATGTAAGAAATGCTTCTCCCACAGGAAAGCCCGGCCTCTGTACCCATCTGTAGTTACCTAGCAGAGCACACGTGGCACCACAAAGTGGCCATTCTTGTGCATGTAACGTCATACCCTTCAGAGAGTGTCCAGACATTAGTGACTACTCTAATTGTACTCGACCCAGAGAGTCCCGAGGGAGACACGGGTGTGCCCACAGCACTGTCTCGCTCACTGCTGCTCCTGTGCCCTGCTTGCCCTCGGCTCTTGTCAACCCGGGTGTGGTTTTTGTCTTTAAATACACGAAAAGGTGGAGGTTCCAGGCTGTTTTCTGCAGGGACAACTTGGTCCTGAGGAGCAGCCCCGGCCGGGCAGAATAAAGACTCTTCCATTTGGACCAAACTGGGAGTCGGAGTTTCTGAGCGGCCTGCCCCACAACAGAGCAACTGGAAACCCACCGGCCCTAATTGGCTTCAGAGGGTCCGTAGGCAGAAAAGAATCGGACCCTCGAGGAAAACACATTGTCCCGACCTGAGTGTGGCTGTCCCTTGATGTCCCTGGTTACTGGTTCCAGGACCCCTCAGATAGGAAAACCTGAAGCCCCTCAAGCCTCATATGAAATGGGGTGTCCATGCCCATCACCTACCGCAGCCCCCCATGCACTAAACCACCTGGGGATGTACTCTAATACCTAGTACTGGGCAGGTGCTGCGTAGATGGCTGTAGAATGCACTGCTGGAGCCAAAGGACAAAAAAGTGAGGTCCCTACGAGCTCAACAGAGATGCAAGTTTAAAAATATCCTCTCAGGCTGGAACTGTGACTCATCAGTAGAGCACCCACCTAGCATGAGCGAGGCCCTGGGTTCCATCCTCAACACCACATAGAAATAAATAAAGGTATTGTGTCCAGCTACAACTAAAAAATAAATATTTTTAAAAAATATGCACCTCTCTGATTCATGGTTGGCTGACCCCATGGTTATAGACCCCTGCACAAGGGCCAACTGAATCACCCTGAAAATCACGGGCCTACGGAGGGAGGTAACTTCACAACAGAGGAACGTGGCAGGTACACCCTAACCGAGCAAGCAATCGTGTCACAAGTCACAAGGGAAACGTCACCATGTGCTACGGCACCTAGCCCTAAGAGTGGCACCCTCCCTGTGGTGTCCACACCCAAACCTTGAAGAAACGTCATGCAAACCTAGACTGTAGGGTATTCTGCAAAAATAACTGGCCCAAATTCTTCAAAAAATGTCCAAGTCCTATAAGGAAAGAGAGGCTGAGGAATGTTCCAGATTATGGGTCCTGACAAGTAATGCCATCTAGAACCTGGGAGTGGATCCAGGACCAAGAACCAAGAACTGGAAGAGACATCACTGGGACAACAGTCACATTTGAAAATGGACTGAAGGTTAGATCGCTGTGTTACATCCAAGGGGGGGCGTGCCTGGCCTTAGGAAATAGGGGTCAAGGAAGGTCATGTCTGCAGTTCACTCTAAACGAAAAAGGACACAGACTTAGGGCACACCTGAACCTGAGTCTGGAGGATAACGAACAATACAGGTGGTGGGTTCCTCATGTGGCCTCTGGAGCAGGGAAAATGCTCAATCCAGGGGCTCTCAGCAGTCGAGATGCTGCTGTGACCTCAGGGAGCCCATGATTGACAAGCGGAGAAAAATGCTGGTTAATCCAGGAGCCATCAAGAAAGAAGAGGGTTGAACTGAGCTCAGTGGGGGACGCTTGCTTCTCACGTAAGAAGCACGAAGTGCGATCCTCAGCACCACATAAAAATAAATAAATAAAGGTGCCCATTGACAACTAAAAATGAAGAAGGAGAAGAGAGGGAGGAGGAAGGGGAGGACGGGAGGAGGAGGAGGAGGAAGAGAAAAGGGGAGAATGGGAGGAGGAGGAGGAGGAGGAAGAGATGGAGCAGGCAGGTGACTGGTTTGTACCCAAACACCCCAGTAATTACATTAAACATAAATGGATCACATGTGCTGATTAAAAAGACTGTCAGATCAGACTGGCTTTTAATAAATCCCAAATGCTTACGAGAAACCCATCTCACATATAAAGAGGAGAAAAGTTGAAGGTAGCAGAGAGGGAGAGAGCTTGCCACAGAAAACAGGAAGCCAAGCAGAGCTGCTGTCAATCAGCAGAGCAGACTTTGCAAGAACTGTCAGGGGTAAAAAGGGACATTGACAATGACAGCAGGGTCGAGTGGACTGGTGTTATCTAGCAAAGTTCAAATCAGGGGTTCTGAACTTAACTCTGTACAGAAACCAGCTGGACCTGGTGAGGACCCAGGTGTGTGCTGTCCTGCCCCGGCTGCTTCCACTGAGAGCTAGTGGCCTGCACCCTCCAGGTCGACACCTAGGTCTCAGCAGCCTTCACCCTTCTGAAGGGTGGTTCGGGGGCACAGGCAGACTACCTCTCAGCGATGGAACAGTCAGCAGAGGAGCCAAGACTGGCCCTGAGTCCAGCCTGCTGGCCTGTGGGTGGCTGCAGTCTCCTGAAAGGTAGGGCTTTTCCTATCAGTAGCACGTGATGCTCTTGTCCCCTGATGAAGATGCTCAGAGACCTGGGACAAAGCCAGGGGCTCCAGATGGGGCTGTGGGCTTTGCAGAATCTTAGGGTCTACAGGAGGAGAAGTCACTGGGCCCATGTGGCGCGGGGAAGGGTAAACCGATGGGGGATGTGGTGCGTGTAGGGCATGAACGGGGCCTTAGAAAGTGGTGGGGGGTGGGCCAGGACACCAGGCCCAACTCACAGTCCTACAGCCTCCCCTCTGCAGACAGAGCTGGGCACTGGCCAGAGATCTGAAAACTAGGAATCCCTGGCTCCCTGCAGCACCCATGAGGGCAGCCAGGCCGGATCCAATGTGGGCCCCCGAGGCCCAGGGGCTGGATCCAATAGACCTGGGGCCAGGGGAAACTCTGGAGGCTCAGTTTTCCCGGGGACACCAGCCTTCTGGGCTGCTGTGAGGAGGGAGATGGTGGTTGGGGCTGCCTGGCACAGGGCTGGGTACCATGTAGCTGTGGGGAGGCTAGTCCCCCACCGGGCCTGTGTTGAAGGCCCACCTCCCTGATGTCCAGGGACGCCCAGGGACGACTGTGTGGGGTCTGTGGGGAGGGGAGGCTCACCCGTCCATTTGTCTCGCCTTTCCACCAGCCCTGGTCCCCGCCTATGCGGCTATAGATCTTCACCACGTCGCCCTCCCGCAGAGAGAGCTCCCGCATGTCCCGCGCAGCGAAGTTGTACCTGGCCACAGCTGTGCCAATGACCCGGGGAGTAAACACTGTTGGGGACAGGGCGCCGTCACACAGCTGCAGGAGGGGTCCAGACAGGGCTAGGAGGCCCTCGGGCTGAGCTGGGTCTCCCCTACTCCGTGCCCCATGCCCAGAAAGGCTCTGTTGCTCCTCTGTGGGACTGGTCACAGGCATGCCTGAGTCCTCACACGAGCAGAGGGTGGGAGCTGCCACCACCTGGGCCAGACAGCAGTCCTGGGCAACAAGCACCCTCCTAGGACAGGGGCAGTGCCCTTGCTCTGACCATCAGGGCTCCCGTGTGGGCCAATTCCAGAGCCCACGCCAACCTGGAAACCCTCCGAACCAGCTCAGCCCGGAACCCAGCAAACTGAGGGGCAGGTGACAATGACAGTGACTGAGGGGACACACATAGCCACTGGGGAGGGGCTTTGGCTCTGGCCACGGAAGGCCGTGCAGTCAGGGCTGACCTTGACCCCGTCCTCCCCACGCCCAAGTCCCATGACCGCCCCTCCTAGCCCTGGAGCAGGGCCTGTGCACCCCGACCCGGCGTGGCCGCTGGCTGGTCCCTGGCCAGAAGCAAAGCTCCTGAGGATCGAGGACAAGAGCCAATCAGGCAGGGGTGCGGGGGGGTGGCGGGCAGGGCCTGGCCTGACCAGTCCTCAGGTGCAGCAGCCCAGCGTCCCCCTCCTCCCTGTCTCAGGCGGGGCTGCACCCTGGACGTCAGGCCAGGCCGGGCCGCGCAGCAGCGGTACCTGACCAGAAGGGGGCAGAGGGGCCCTGAGGACTGAGAGAGGAAAAGCTGAAGGAGGCACAGGAGGCTGCGGAGACAGAGATGCGTGAGAGGGGGGCAGCACGGCTCCACCGTGCCCTCTGGAGCCACCGCGCCCCTCCCGCAGGCTGCTGCCCCCACCTGGCACACAGCCCGGGCTCACCAAGGGCCCGTGGCCCCTCCCCTGCTCTGCCTGGGGGACTCATGGCCGCAGGTCCCCGCAGGCTGGAGGATGGGGGCCACTTGGGGTAGCTCTGCCCTGCTCCTAGTTCTGAGTGGCCTGAAGCAGGTCACTTCCCAGTTCCGGGCCTCAGAGTCCCATCTACAGACAGGCAGCTTCCCACGGCAAGGCCAGCGAGGGACCTGAGGACAGGCGGCCACCCTGCTCTGTCAGAGGCCTCTCTCGAGTGCAGGGGGTCTCTGCCTGGACCTCCTGCATTGTCCTTAGGGCAGGAAGCACAGGTGTGGGGTCCCCGTCTGGCACATGGAAGGGGAGGGGGCCACAGGCCAGCAGAGTAGGGCAATGGCGGCCCTGGGCCAGGCTCTAGGGGTGGACTCCTGAGGGAAGGTGGGCAGTGAGGACCTGGGCCCTGGAAGCAGCCAGAGTGGTCGCTTCCACACAAGGACATTACCTGGGGACCGGCTGGAGGTCCTGGAGGCAGCGCGCTCCCGGGACTTGTAGGGGTATTTGAGCGTGGTGTCCAGCTGCTTGAAGCTCTCCTTGAGAGAGTGGCCCTGGTAGTACTCCACCAGCTCCTGCAGGGATTCACACTGACGTGGCCACTGCCTCCAGGTGGCCTGGCCGCACCACCCCCTCAGGTTCACATGGGGGGAATGTTCCTCTCTGGCCCCCAGAACGCCCTGCTCCTCGCTCCCTAGCCCAGACCACGGTGTGAGGTCAGTGTCTTGGAGACCTCTGGACCAGCAAGTAAGGACACTGCCAAAGGAATGATGTGGAGGAAGGCCCAGGCTGGGCAACATGGCTGCTGCCCATAGCCTTCACAGAGGGGGACACTGGCCACCATGGGCCCAGCTCGGGGAAGCTTCCAGAGACACGGCAGATGTGAGGACCAGCTGGGGAGGATCTGTCAATGTCAAACGCTCCGGACCTTGAGAGTCCGAGCTCAGTACAGCATGGCCAGCAGGTCAGCTTCTACAAGACCTGTGAGAACCTCCTGTGCCAGGCTGGGGGCTCCAGGGACTCACCCCGAGGGCCACAGCGGGTCTTGTTTGGGGGCTGGGGGCAGACACTCTGACTGTGCACAGAGGGAGGAAGAGCTCACTGTCCTCGCCAGTCCCAATACGCAACGTTTATGACTGAGAAAGGACCCTCCCAGGAAGGACCTCGTCCTGACTGGGCTCTGGTGGCCTCGGCCCTGAGGAGGTGGGGTGGCTGGGGAGGAGCTACAGGAGGCCAGTTCCTGCTCTCACAGGAAGATCTGCGTGGGAGGGCTATGGTGACAGCGTGGCCAGGTTTGCTGAGCCTGGCTCTGGGGGTCAGAAGTCCCCAATCAGGGGTACGACATGCCCGGCCTGTCCCCAGGTGCCTCACAGACCGACTTCCCTGAGTCTCGCCCACACTGGGAGGATCACTCCTCCCAAGGAGAAGGGTATGGGATGGGGGTGGCCCAGCAGGGAAGGCATGCGGGGCCACTCGGCCCCGTGGCTGGGTCAGGAGCGGCAGGAGCTAGGGACGCACATACCAAGAGGCTTTCAAACTTCTTAGCTTCTGTGATGTGAATCCAGTTGTCCTTCTCCACCACTTTGATGTGCTTCACCTCATCGTTGAACCTGGGCAAATGCAGGGGCCTGGTGGTCACTGCCAGAGGCCTGTGGCCCTTAGGTGTCCAACCTGCTCCACGTTTTCTGGAGTGGAGACCCCACCTTCGCCCCACATTGCTGCTGCGGCTGCTTCTCCTCACCTTCACACCCCGCCCCATCCCTCTTGGGCCTCAGCAGATTCCTGGGCCGGTCTACCTGCCCTCCTTGCCCAGTGAAGCCCACACCTGAGGGCAACCCATGCCACCAGCTTCTCGGGGGCTCCCCACTCTCCAGCCTGCTGCCACCTCTTCTTGGGCTTTTGCTCATCAGCTCTGGGCATGGGGAGCACCCTCCTCCTCCCGGGAAGCAGCTGGGCCCAGCCCTGACATCAGCTCCTAACTCCTCCAGCTGTTGTCCAGAGGCGCTAAACACAAGCCAGTCAGAGGCCTGGCCACCCCTTCACCCCACCAGCTGCAGGCCTCAGTTTGAGCGTAACCTACCTGTAGTAGAGCCTCCCCGTAGTCATCCCCAGATACCACCCCAGCCTACAGCATCTGACTCCAGAGCCAGAGATGTCCTAGGAATGCAACTGAAGCCAGCACCCTGGTGACCATGATGCAGGAATCCTCAACCAGTAAGCACCAGGCTGAGTCTCCCTGGGTGTGCCTCCACCCAGCCTGACGTGAGGAAAGGAGCACACCCCGCCTGGGGGCAGGTCCCAGAATGCTAGGACGGTTTGACACCCGGAACCAGCAAAAATCAGCGGCTATGCAAATGAGCGTCCAGCCAGCCAGGCTCCTGCTCCAGGCCTTTGCAGAGACCCTCTCTGTGTGTCCCTGGACTTCACAGGGCTGTGAACAAGCCCGCCCCACCCCCAGTCCCAGGCTGGGCTGTCTGATGGTGCTCAGGTGCTCTCAGGCCACACATACAAGGCGCCCCTGGTATTCTTACAGGGACAAGAGCCCTGCCTTTCATTGCTCTGCCTGGACCACAGACCTGATGCTGGACACACATGGTTGTTCCCCAGAGCTGTGGAGGCTGGCCCTGAACGGTGCTTCATACTCCTAGGTGTTCCCAGCGATGGACATAAACTCTGCAGAGAGCAGATCTTTCCAAGGCCACCAGGTCCCCTCAACTGGTATCCCAGCAGACACTGGCCACTCGCTCTCTGTACTCTAGAGCCAGAGCACTTGTGGCAGGCTGCAAACAAAATCTGTGGGGCCTCCTGGGAAGGCGATGGGTCGTGGTAGTGCCTGTCCTGCCTGAAGTGGGAGGACTCTGAGGCCTCATTCTGGCTTCTAGACCCCTCTAGCTCCCCAGATGCCTGCCTCCAGTGCTCCCACCCTGGGTGCCCCTCAGCAGCTGTCCTGTGCAGTGGGACCCTGGCCCTGCGTGCTGGGGGCCAACCTGTCCTTCTCCTGGGATTCAAACACATGTGACAGCTGTCTGCTGGTGCTCAGGCCAGACAGCTGGATGCACAGTTGGGCCGCTGTGAGTGCAGACACAGGAAGCTTATGCTCAGAGCGGAGAAGGAAGGCTGGGAGGGGCGGGATCGGAGAGTGCAGGACCTGGGGGTTCCTGCCGAGCCTGGCCCACACCTGCCCTATGGCCACGAGGTGCACTTGCCCCATTCAGAAAATCTTCTCTGTGGGTCACTTGGCATTGGAGTTGATTTGATCTGCTGCACCAGCCAGGGGACAGGTTATGGGGGCCTGGCTTGCCCAGCACCCACCCAGTAGACCAAAGGAGCTCTTTTTGGACACAAGCCACTGCTTAGGGCTCTGGACCCCAGGTCATGGCAGACTAGATAACCCTAGTCACTGGCCTGTGGCCTGTCCTGTCCATGAGGATCCTATACCAAGCAGGACAAACTACCCAAGTCTGACCACAGCCCCATGAAGACACCCGGATCTCCATCTGGGTCTATTAGCTGAAGCTACAAGGTCACTGTCACCATAGGAGGAGTTCTTTGAGGGCTCCCAGGTGCCACAACACATGACGATCCCATCCCGTCTGAGCCACTGAGGGCTGCAGGCAGGACCTGAGCGCACCTCCCCACCTGCTCCTGAAAATGTCCAGCCAGCCCTCCCGGGTGGCTGGGCAGGTGACACTGGCGCCCAGCGTGTATTCTCATTTTCGGGTCATCTCAAGGGTCTTACTTAGTTCAGGCAACCGAAGATGGCGTCCCCAACCCGGAGAGGCCCAGGTCATGAGAGGCCAGGGGCCATAGTTCAGAGGGAGGCTGCCACTCACTTGATGCTTATGGCGAAGCGCTCGGCCTCGGCAGGCCGCTCCCTGATGAGGTAGGTGCCGCTGGCGTGGGCCTTGAGCAGGCTGTCCGTCTGCTGCCTCTCCATGTTGCCAGCAAACCTGGAGCGGGGCCGAGAGCTGTGGCTGGTGCAGAGGGCACCGGCCCTGAGTGCACATGCAGCCAGCCGTTCCCCATCTCGAACCTTCAAGACGGCGGCCCAGCACTGTGAGCCCAGCAGACAGCGGAGGGGCGGGGAGGGAGCCCCATGGCCTCTCTGCTCCTCAGACCCAGGGCCACAGGAGGCACCCACCCTACGCCATTCACCCAGTCACTTATTCCAAAAACCGTTTTCACTCCTCAGAAAGAAGCAGTGATGGCTTACGGGGTCCTAGGACTGCTGGGGGGTGACCAGAGTCTGCACTCGGGGGGCTCTGGGCAGGCTGGGACCATGCTTTGTGCCTCTACTGAGACGAAGCACAGCCCAAGGCGAGCTCCTCACTGCTTGCCAGGCAGGTGGGGACTCCCCATACCATGTCACCAGGCGGTCAGTGTTAAAAAGTGACGTTTCTGTTTGCTTCTCCACCAAGTGAAAGCCCTCGGAGCACCTGTCCACCACCTGCACTACCTGTGGTGAGGGGTGTTGGGCAGCCAACACTGAGGGGCTGGGTCCAAGGCCCCAGGGATGAGCCCCAAAGTGAAATCAAGGAACTGCTGCTGCCAGGGCAGAAACCACTGTGCCCCAGGCCCCCCATCACCGTGGGGCCCATCAGGGCAACAGCGCCGGGGCCACAAGTCCACAGGGCTGGACCTTCCTCTAGGCTGCCAACAGCATAGCAGGGTCACAAGCCGAGGCTCAGGTGCCCCCAAGTCTATCCAGAGGGGCACCCGCTTCCACACACCCATGTCGCCGTTCTCACCGAGCACAGCCCAACTGGGAAGACGGCTCCCCTGATGGTGCCCAGAGCAGGTCTTCCTCCCTCCCCACAGGATGAAGGCAGCCTCCACCCCCACCGGCACCTCGAGCCCGCCACCCACTCACCAGGGGTACACGGTGTAGTCGATCTCCCGGGAAGGCGGCCGGCTGACGGGCGGCTGGGGGCAGAGCACACACGGGTTGATGTCCCACCAGGGCCCGCCACAGACTGGGGACTGGGGCTTGCTGTCAGTGGCCCAACCCCACGCCCAGCACTGTCGCACTGGACCAGGACCATCTGTGAACTTAGCCCAGTGGCCCTGGCCTCTGAGGTCCCCAAGGACATGGCTGGACTCCATCACCGCACAGAAGCTCGGGATAGTGAAACTACAGATTCCCAGCCGTGAACGGGGAGCCACCACCCAGCAGCGCACCTCACCCTGAGAGGGAGGCAGGTGGCCGCAGGAAGTCCCCAGCAGGGGTATGGGTACACTTGAGCTGTGGTGGTGGGCTGTGCTGTGGGGCTATGGCCCCTGCCAGAGCCCCACCCAGCCTCACGGGGATACAGGCTGGAGGCCTCAGAGACCACTCCTCAGCCTTGGCCCCATGGACCACATAGATGGGGAACCTGAGGCTTGGGGAGGGCCGGGCCTGTCCCCCGCCACCGCGTGTGTTGGTGACACCCGTCCTCCCCTGCCGTAGGTACTCCTGACCTGCCCAAACAGTCTGAGTGTTTAACACCTCCTCCTTCAGCAGGACAGAGGCCAGAGGCCAGCAGGGCTCCCGCGGGGGACCCACCTCCTTGCACCTTCAGGGAGAAGCCCCGTCGCTGTCCTGGGGGTGCCGCCTTTATAACAAGGTTGGGGACAAGTTCCACACCCTCCAGTAAGACTGCCATGTGGCCTTTCCCCAAATATCCTAAACTCTGACGGTGCATCTGGGAAGCCCCCCGGCTAGGGCTAGGCGACAGCCCCAAAGATCAGGGAGGCCCCATGATGCGCAGGAAGGCACAAGTCCTCCTGTGGGCACGCGCCAGTCACCATGGGGCAGCATAGCCCTGGGCAGGGTGGGCCTTCAGCAGAGGACAGCACCCTGCCAACCTGGCCTCTGTTCCTTGCTCAGTCACTTAGCAAGGACACCCTGAAAGAGCCACACCCTCCTCACTGAGGCACCCTGGAGCCCTCTGCACCCTAGCCACTGTCTCTGGAAGTGACCAGAGGAGGGGACTCACCCTTCCGTCCACAGGGCAGGGCTTCACAGATGAGCTAGGGAAGCACCCTGACTTCCTGCTGTGCACCAGCCGGCCCTGGACGGAGAGACCGGGGGACAGGGGTCATTCCAGGTGAACACAGGCCCTGGTCCAAGATGAGCCTCGTGGCCACTGTGACCTCAGGTGACCTTGTAGTGCCCGAGTGGGGAAGCGAGGGGTGACCTGTGTTACAGGTGGGGCCCGGCATGTCGGTGTCCCTCCAAGGCCACCTGGGGAGGAACAGGGTGGCTGGCAGGGAGCAGAGACCCCTTGGACACCCTTTGGGCCTCAGTTCCATGACTACTGTAACTGAATACAGGCCAGGAAGCTGTGGGGACAAGGACTGCAGCTCCTCTGGTGCCCGTGCAGCCGGGCCCTGTGTCTAGAGCTGTCCTGTGGGCACTGGGGCTCAGGGGAGGCACCGAGGGTGGGTGCCATGGGCCCCTCGTTTGTGGGCCCTGAGAAGGGAGCAGGAGCCACACCACAGGACCTTCTCTGGCCGCGTAGAGCTCTTCGCCAGAGGGCTTCCTGGGGCGAAGCGGAGGGCAGGGCCAGGCACGGGGCCTGGTCACCCTACAGCAGGACCCAGGGCTGCTGGCCGGCCCAGGGCAGCACAGGGAGGAGGCAGTTCAGACACAGCCAGGCCAGAGCTTTGGGAGGCCATGGACATCAGCAGGAGGGCTCCACCATGTGAGAGCAATGGGGGGGGAGGCGGTAGCAGAGGCCCTGCTAACCAGCCGCCCTCTGCGTGGCCCTGACCTTCATCCTGGGAGCAGGGGGAGGAGCTGGGCTCCAGGGCCCACGACCCACCTCCCACCACTGGGACTCGGGGTCGCCCCGCAGCAGCTCGATCACGTCGCCCGTCTGGAAGGTCAACACGGGCTTCCCAGGAGGGGCAGGGTTGCCGAGGTAATTCTGCACAGCCACCATCTTGGGACCTGCCGGAGACGGGGTGGAAGGGCTGCTCACTTGGGACCTGGCCCTGGCAGGCAACCCATGGATCCTGGCTTTTCCCTGGCCCTGTCTAGCCCAGGAGCTGTCTGGCGAGTGGCCGTAGGCCCCTCCCTAAGCCCTGCCCCTGGGGCTCTTGGGTCCCTTGAGAACATCCTGAGTATATCCTCAGGCCACAGTGGAGGCAGGGACTTATTCTGCTTCCCGTGTCTTCTCCCTGACAGACACCTCTCAAATTTGGGACTGCAGCCAGCGTGTGGACAGGGGACGGTCCTCATGTCAGAGGAGGTGAGGATG